TCGTGAACTCTGGCCACAAGACATCCGCGAACGCTATCACCGAAAAGCTCGTCTGCCATAACAAGAAGTCACTCAAACGGGTCTCACCACTGGTGCGCACCAGTAGATCGGGATCTGACGACTGACTGGTGTACAAGAACTTCGATATCAACGACTCGTTGATATCCGACTCCCGGATGACACCATTTCGGACACATGTCTGCAACTCTTGGAGCGCTTCCGTCATCTCGTGTCTGGAAGCGTACGGGAAGCAGATGTTGAGCACTTTGTGTCGATTATCTTTGGTCAACAGCACGATCTCCGCCACCAATTGCTGTATGTCTGGAGCCAATAGCGACAGATCGCCGATCACTCGGACACACTTCCCGGTGTCCATCAGTTTGTGTCTCTCGTCCAACAACTTCTGAAACATATCTCTCGCGAAGTCCATCAGTTTGTTCACCTCTTCGGCCGGTCTCTTGAAGTTGTCGATCGCGAACGCATAGACTGTCACCTCATCCACTCCCAGCTCCAGACACCACTCCAGTGTCTGCGCCATGCGGTCGAAGCCCTCTTTGTGGCCATCGATGGTCTCGACAGATGTCTTGCGGGCGTAGCGCCGGTTGCCGTCCATAATGAAGGCCACGTGTCTGGGAATGGGTCCGCATCTCAACACATTGATACACAACCGCTCGACCAGCGATGGCTTGTTGTTGTCGCTGAACCACGACCTCATCGGTGATGATATCACTGCACACTTGGATCAGTCACTCAACACATGAATCACACAAAATCTACACGCAATGCATGAGTGACATTGCATACGGCACTCGTGTTTGGCACCTTTTTATGCAATGCATTTGTGTTGCATGTAATACACCATTTGTAAGCATAAAAGGTCATAAAATGTGTGCAATTTTTAAAGTTTTATTTTTAGTAAATTTTGAATATACATCAAACCTTTACAGAAATTAATTTATTTAGCAGGGTAATTAATATTAATTTAGATTTAAATATTTTGCGGCGATATAATTGTTATTGAATTGAGCATGGTATTTCTAAATTATAAAACTCAGTTTAGTAATGATGTCTACGAGCGGGACATTTGTGTCAATAACGTCCCCTTCTATTGACAGAC